AATACCACCAGTGAATTCTGACTTTACAGAATATTTAGGATATAGAACAGAAAAATCTCTATTTTTAAAACCAATAACAGAAAATGAATTGAAATGCCACTTACAGACTTTAGATACAAAAAAAGCATGTGGCTATGATAATTTGCCGGCAAGACTGTTGAGGGATGCTGCCCTATACATTTCAAGCTCATTAACATATATTTTCAATCTTTCCATAGAAAGAGGTAAATTTCCAGACGCACTGAAAGTAGCAAAAGTGACACCTATTTATAAAAAGGGGCGAAAAGATCTAGCTGGTAATTACAGACCTATTTCAGTTTTACCTATACTGGGTAAAATCTTTGAGAAAATAATAAACAATCGTGTAATTGACTATTTGGAAGCAAACAATATCTTGTTTCAACACCAGTATGGTTTCCGTAAGAAACATAGCACTAAGTTATCTTTGGTTAATCTTGCAAATACACTATTGAAATACTTTGATGAGGGTAGAACAACAGTTGGCATCTTTATTGACTTTCAAAAGGCATTTGATACTATAAACCACAGCATTCTCCTCAAAAAAATGTCACACTATGGAATACGTGGGTTAGCCTTGCAATGGTTTGAAGATTATTTGTGTAAACGATCACAGTTTATACAATATAAAGACAAAATGTCTTTGAAATTGAATATAACATGTGGTGTCCCTCAAGGCTCCGTTCTTGGACCAACATTATTTTTACTATATATAAATGACTTACCTAACTCCACAAACTTTTTCAATTTCAGATTATTTGCTGATGACTCAAATCTTTTTCATACTTTTAATCCTAGACAAAAAGAAATTGATTTAGAGATTGTAAGTGAAAATTTAATGAAGGTGCAGGAATGGTGTAATGCAAATGAAGTCACAATTAACTTACAGTAAACAAACTATATGATTATGAAATCCAAAGGTAGATCAATAAACAAAAAGGGATCTGTGAGAATATCAAGATCAGATATTAAAGAGGTATCTGTTGCATCATTTGTAGGAATTGAAATTGATTGTCACCTTTCATGGAAAGAACATATTCAGACAATAAACAAATGCATAAGAAAGAAAGTAGGTATTCTGTTTAAACTGAGACATTTTGTTCCCAAGAATATACTTGTGTTATTATATAAGGCTTTTATACAGCCTCACCTCTCTTCTGGAGTAGAAGTATGGGGGAGCACTTACAAAAGTAATCTAAATTGTATATATTTAAGTCAAAAAATGGCAATGAGAGCAATTACATTCAGTCCACTTAGAACAGACTCCAAAGCTCTTTTTCAAAGTCTAAACATTTTAAATCTTTTTCAACTTCATGAACTTCTTGTATCAACATTTATGTATGATTTGGTAAAAGGTTTTTTACCACACTTTTTAGTGGATTATTGTCAGATGATACAGCACAGATAAGCAACTAGGAGAAAAGAAAGTGGCTTACTTTATCAACCAAAATGTAAGACAACGCAAGGGCAATTTTGTATTTCGTTTGTAGGAACAAAGCTGTGGAATGATCTGCCAGATTAAATTAGATTAAAAACATCAAGGTTATCTTTTCGGAGACATCTTTCCACCTACCTTCTATGTAAATGACGTGGGCTCAATCCCACCCCCTTCGTTTTTTCCTTTTATATTACTTGTCTTTCTTTTATATAAGTATACACTTCCTTGTTAACGATTATAGCGGCCTTAAGCTTTTACAGGATTTGTGCATGTACGGACATGTGTATGATTATTTTTATTAATACATCCTTTTCATTTTTATGAACACATTGATGATTTTATTTCTTCAAAGATTTGTCTTCTTTCATTATAATGCTTTAACGCTTAAGCTTTTTTATTTTTATTTTTTCATTTTAGTAAAGAAAAAAAGTTACATGATATTGTATTATTTTGTTGTATATATGTAAATACAAAACAAACAAGTTTTACATTCATGTGTAAAAACAAATTAACAGAAAAAAAATCTTGCCAAAGAATGGAACTAGGCTCGACTAGCACTTGTGCTAACTTCTAGTTCCCATTAACAACTTCACCTAAACATAGTAATATACATATTTACGAATATATATTTGTACATTTAATAGTGTGCAGATGTATGTCTAAAAAATATCGTTTTAAAACCATTACTGTTCAATCGACATTACTCTTATGTTATGTATACATGTATCAGTATTATTCTTTGCATTGTATGATTGTTCATAGACTATGTACTGTCATTATTGTGATGTGTTGTTGTTAATAAATTCAAATTCAAATTCAAATTCAAACTTATAAGGATGAAATGTTGACACTCTACCCATGCAATAAATTATTCAGACTTTCCCTCCATTCAACTAGTTATGTTTTTAATTAATGATCATCGGCTGGATAGTTTCTTCCATCCCCGATTAATAATCAATGAGAGAGTATTGAGTTTATATGAATTAAAATTAAAATTTATTAAATTAAGGTACACTCAAAAATCATTAATGTAATTGAAATTGTATGCCTATATGGTTATGACTACGCTCCTATATTTAACAATGGGGATTGATTTTTGACGAGTGGGAAGCTTTTAAAAAGGGGAACAAAGAAATTGTATCTTAGCTTTTAACATTAATGGGGTGATTTTCATTAGATGAAAATATTGACCTCAATATTGGCCTTATTCAACCAAAATATTGTGTCATTTCGTTTTATCCCTTAAAGATACTATGTCCCTTTTGCAGCCAACATCAAATTCTGTAGAACTTTGCAGGAGTTATGAATATGTCATGTATGTCGTATCTGTGAAATTTAAACGTTAGTAGTTTCCTAATATTCAGATTATGGAGGAAACAATTAACTTGCTAGACTTCACTGTCAGACACTATTGAGTGACAAACTGACCTTTTTTCTTCTTTGGTAAAATGAGCTGTATAGGGTACATGAGCATTTGTCTACATCAATATTCCACTTCTTGTAATGGGCAAAATTAAACTGATTGAATCTTTGCGCAGCATAAAACGTACGACCATTCGGTACAATGGTCTAAAAATCAGACTATTACTTACTGGCTCTATAGCTCTTAAGTCGATTCGACAACTTATATTCGTTATTTTCACACTTAGGACATTTTCAAGCCCCCCCCCCCTTTTTTTTTTTTAGGGAAGTTCTAATTTAGTATTTACTTTCAAATGCCGTTGGAATTTAACCTTTTCATTCATTTTGGCCTGCAAATGGGACATAGTACCTTTAAATTTAGGAGCACGTGCATAGCCCTATACGCTCCGACTATATGATTTCAAATCTTTCCTTTAATATTTGATGCTGGAAATTTCCTCTTTCATTTCCAATTTAATTAGACATTAGTCATCACGTTATATTCTTATTCAAAAGGGAACAATATGACATACTAATATGTCATTAAAAAAAAAAATCAAACAACATAAATAGGAAATGGAATACATGCATTCATACATAGCTGACATAAGCATGGGGTGTGTGTATGAAAGAGAAAGGGAGGATGGGAGGTATATAGGGAGGGAGGGAGGTAGTGAGGGAGTGAGAAAGAGAGAGAGAGAGAGAGAGAGAGAGAGAGGGGTGGGGGAAGTGAAGCCCATCAGCTAGATTTCCTTTCAAATAACGATATATCTTGGTGCCCAAGCGCTTTATTTTATCTATATGAAATGTAAAATTTGAAGCTAAAATAAACGAGCGAATCGAATGTACACTGCAACGAACGGAAGCCCCCCCCCCCCCTCCTCCTCCGTAATGGTGGATATACATAGCGCTGCTAGCTATCGTTGGAGATGGAGCTTGGGGCGCGCGATATCGGATTCCTGTATATAAACCCATGCGACAAGACCTCTTCATTCATTCTTGTTCGAAACATTGCGAGTGAAGCCTAATAAATCTTTGCTTATGATCTGTAACTGACTTTGCTACTACTTGGGCGAATTTAGAAGTCAATTAAGAGAGGAAGTTCTGGAAATGGCATTCTCTTGGGTAAGGATTGTTTTTAATAATAATGGCGTAGGCCCTATCAAGACATTGATAAAGGCATGAGGGCAACATCAGCAACAGGCAAGGGAGCGTCTGTTGGCAGCCCCGTGTGACGTAGACCATTGCAAATTTTACATACTTCAAACCAGAGGTGTGTTTTTTTGCCAGCTCCACCATGTGCTGGATACGCCGCTGTTCAATGATGTACTCGGATCGAACTATATAGTTATTTTAGTAGATGCTTCTAAAAGTTATCAAAGTTATCAATCTTTGAATAAGTTCATGTATACCATTCTTGGTCCTAATACAAAGGCTGTGGGTAGCTGGCGAGGCTTGAGGAGTCGATAGACTTTCATTTTATTTTATTGGGAGATAAATTCAATCCCGTATTGGCGGTATTGCATAGTCAATAGGCTATATTTGTGTTGATATTTTCGTTGGTGTTCTTGATATAAAGAATTACCGTTTTTCTTCCTATAAACTTTTCTTGCAGATTATTTTCGTCCTTGTCTGTTCAAGCATCCAATTTTCAGGTAATCAATATAGATATATGAATGGAATATTTTGGAAATTAAGTAAACAATATAGGCTATGTTTCTCTTTTGAAAAATATGCATCTTATTTGTTCCCCACACATCATATATATTAGCATTTCGGCAATGCACTCGGAAAACAAATAAATCTGAAATAGATGTAGTAAACTATGAAAATAAGATAAGGTAAAAAGATCAAAACTTGTTGTAAATTGTATTTCTATTTAATTTTTTTTCTTCCAGGGGGTATAATAATAATATTGTCCAGGGTTTTTAATTTTCATGTTTGTCTTTCGGAAGGATGTTAACATGACTTCTTGATGGTTTTGAAGATATTGAAGAACAGCATTGATTTTACAACAAAAACTCTATATCGAAACTCGGTTGAATTCAAAAGATTTCCCCAATGCTTTTTTCCACACTCATTGAACGTGGAAGGCGCTATATTTCCTGCGCGTTATTCGATGTTTTCCGAGTATTAACGTGTATACTCGGTTTAAGTTATATTATGTCTGACTGATAACGCGGGTTTTAACTAAAGAGGTATCCTAATTGCATGTTTTCACGAAATGTATAGGCAATCTGTCGGCTGAGTTTGGAAGAAATGAAAACAAGAACTTGGAGAACTTTTAGAGGAACTTAATATCCTAACCGATTAATGTCTGTATTCTACTCTTTAATTGCTTTGTGCCAATACTCAGCCGGAAGAGGGGGGTCAATCGGCAAGCTATCCTGTAGTTACATCACAGGCCCTATGAAGGAGGTCATCAACCTTGTACCGACAACCTTTGACCTTCGACCTTTACGGTTGCCGCGTGTATCATACGTTTGTACGCTACCAGGTAGGTCTATCAAAGTATTTATATTAGAAAAAAACTTTCTTGCTCACACGGAATGAGAAAATCTTTTGAAAGTGCACAAACATAACAAATAAAATATGAATCGGCGAACCCCCGCACCCCCCCCCCTCCCCGTCCCGCGGTTTATTAGTGTTCAGATATTCTTGCACGGCAATGAGATGCGCAGTACGCGTCAAATTTAGTTAATTTATTTAGTTTGTCAGGCATTAATCGCAAAGATTAAAAAACCCGCAGAGGGTAGGGTTGCGGAGGTTTCCCTTTGTATATCTGAAGAGGCCTTAACTGCTATCTCATGATTAAGAAAGGTGTTTTTAAACCTTTATAATGTCGAAATATATTAATAAAATGAATTTAAAATGATTAGAGCATGGGTAATGAAATATCATGTACCGTATATGAAATGAATATAATTCTTTTTCAATTTCGATGATCTACAAACTGAACCACTGAAGGGTAACGTATATGCATAATATGATTCATCATGCGCATGTTCATATCTTACTTCGTCTCTAAATACATCTATGAATTCATGATGCAATATTTGTCTTCAAACACATTTTTATTGAAAATCCTTCCAGAAATGTGCCAAAAAACATCCTTTTACATATTATGATTATTTAGGTGAAATTTTGCCATCAAATTTTTGGTGAATTTAGGGCTTCCCGGATTACTTTAGAGGGGCTTTAAAGGGCGAGGTTTTCCTTTGAATGACTAATAATTTTCGTCATGCCATTGATTAAATCCACAGCGCCGACGAACAAAACGAGTTGTGAAGATTACAATGAGACAAACCACGTGAGTCCTCTCAACCCTGGAGTGGGAGGCAAACCATTCTACGTCTATTGCGAAAAAGATGACTATGTCATTATTCAGGTATAATATCCAAATACTCGTTTATTACTCTTTTACATTTAAAATAGGTAGGCTTGTCAAAATACACACTTTTACCATCTGGTAAGATGCTGAAATTGTCTAGTATACCCAGCTTGCCTAAATATAGAGTACTGAAGTGTGACGTCATACTGGCCAAGTTGTCTAAGTTGCTGGTACCCCTGATACCAAACAATTTTTTAAAGGTACTATCATGTCCCATTTGCAGCCAACATCAAATTCTGTAGAACTTTGCAGGAATTATGAATGTGTCACGTATGTCCTATCTGTGAAATTTAAACGTTAGCAGTGTCTTAGTAGTCAAATTATGCAAGGAAACCCGTTAACTAACTTTAGACTTCACTGTCAGACACCATCACTGACTGAATGACTTCATTTTTTCTTCGGTTATAACATACATAAAATGAGCTGTACAGTACCAATAACCCACTTCTTGTAATGGCCAAAAGTGATTGAATCTTTGCGCAGCACAAAACGTACACCATTCGGTTCAAGGTCTGAAAATCAGACTATTTACTAAAAGGATTGCAATCCCTTAAGTCGACTCGACAACTTACAATCGTTATTTTCACACAAAAAGACATTTTCAAGCCCTTTCGTCATGAGGGAAGTTCAAAAATAGTATTATCTTTCAAATACCGGCGGAAATTAATCTTTTCATCTGTTTGGCCCGCAAAAGGGACACAATGCCTTTAAACAATAATTGTGAATGTGGTGATCATTACCACACATAATTTGCCCTGCTCCAGACATTTGCTTGAATGATTTCGTGGTAAACCTCAGGCGCTGTTATATGCAATGTGCTAAACCAATAACTTGGACGACGCGAAACGAACATGACGTTCGCATTTCGGGACTCCACTCCAACTATACAGTCGGTCCCTTTTCAACGTTTTGAGCTTTCATAATTATACTATACTTACCCAAAGTAAAAATAATATTGTAAATCACATTTTCATAATTTCAAGGATATACAAGGAGGAGTATATAATCAAATTTAAATGTTTGTTTTCCTGTGTTTACCTAAATGGCAATTGAGTTGATTTATTTTAGCATAGTCCCCGGTATTTATGCGGGGTCTTTTCAAATTTTCAACATTCGTTCATCTTTCCCACCTCCTGCATAAGTGGAATTAAATCCAAAAATAAAGATGTTTGTTTATAATGGTTCGAAATGTTATGAATTGAGAAATAATAATCATATAATCTGAATTTAAACATTATGCTGAGGATAAACAGAAGCTAGTTGGAATTTTCCATCCATTTCAACACTTTTTTCTCAATCAAATTCATCTTTGTACACTTCAGTTCCGTCCTATAGGAATCCGGGATCGTCCATGCACATTTCATAGTTGATTTAGTCTTTTCCCATTCAAGTTAGTTAATGGTAAATAAATTTCAACAAGAGCCCTGTCCATTCACATTCGTCTCACCTGGGGCTGTAGAATGCAATTATGAAATTCATCTTTGTGCAATCAATTTCAAAAGAGTTCCATTCAAATTCGTTGTACAGTGCGTCCCAGAAAAAACTAAACCGAGAATTATCGATGTTTTATCATAACTTAGTCACATTTAAAATTAATAAATGACACATATTTAGAAAGCTTATATTCTCCTCTTTCATTTGATGCAACTTATATGACGCATGAGTGATTAAAATGAATTTGAAGAGAGGAAACCAAAAAGTCATTTGGCGGACGGTATCTGAATTTCAAAGAGAAAATCACATTTCTAGAAAGTTGAATTTCTGCCCTTTCATATGACACCTCAATCGGGTAAAATGAGCAAGGAATGTCAAAGTTCTGTTTGTTTAAAGTAGTGTTGCATTTATTGTATCAAACGAATTCGTTTTCACTGGGTGCCTGCCATAACAACATGCAGAATTGACAACATACTTAACTCTGTTTCGTTGACAATCAGCCATGCATGAAGTCTTTCGTCTACGGCTGATTGTCAACGAAATGGAGTTAAGTCTTTTGTCAACTCTGTTTGTTGCTACGGCAGGAACCCAGTGAAAACGAATTCGTTCGATAAAATTATGGAAATACAAGCACTACTTTAAACAAACAGAACTTTGTCATTCCTTGCTCATTTTTTTTGATTGAGGTATCATATGAAAGGGCAGAAACTCAACTTTCTAGAAATGTGACTCCCTGAAATTCTGATACCGTCCCCCAATGACTTTTTGGTTTTCTCTCTTCAAATTCATTTCAATCACTCATGCGTGAAATATATATTATATGAGTTACATCAAATAAAAGAGGGGGATCTAAGCTTTCCAAATATGTGTCATTTATCAATTATAATGTGATTAAGGTATAATAAAACATGGATAGTTCTCGGTTTCGTTTTTTCTTGGACGCACTGTATACTAGACAAGACTTTATAGCGAACGAGTGACGAATTTAATTTGACTTTGAGGAAATTCGATGCAAAATGATGAAATTGATTGGACAAAGTTCGAAAATGAATGGCCAAAGACGAGATTGACAACAAAACGGACATATGCAGAATTGGAAAGTTTAGGGATGAAATTGAATGAAAAAAAAAGTTAAATGGAAAAAAAACTATATTCGAATTGAGTCTCGAATCATGAGCAATGCTATCATTTCACAGCGGAGGACACACCTCTCGGTTGATTTCAATCGTTCGTGGATTGATTACTTTAATGGATTTGGAGACCTACATGGAGATCATTGGTTGGGACTACAGAAGATCTTACGGTTCACACAGAATGGGAATAAGGCGCGAAGCTGGAAAATTATGGTTAAATTCGAGGACGGTGAAGTTATTGGCGCCACTTTTCAAGCACGGATATATGCAGAGTACGTATATATAGCCATACTTTGATACGTCGCTGATTGGTATACTGCCGCTCAATCTCGGGGGGGGGGGGGGGGCGTTTCACAAAACTTGTCATCAGTGACATATGACAGTTTTTGTTAAAAGCTACTGAAATTGTTGATTCTGATTGGTTATCGACAGATTTGTCACTGATTTTTGTCATTTGTCATTGAAAAAAGGCTTTGTGAAACGGGTCCCAGGGCCAATATTATCTTCCCGCTATTCCCTATGTATATAGTGGCGGTTTGTCGATTTTATGAGAACCCATCCGACCATGGGCATGGACTGCATGAAATGTTGCAATTGAAAAACATCTTGCGAACATGACTATTTTATAGTTATTGTACAGGCCAAGTGTTATCGTTAGATCATCCAAATTAATATCATCATGCGAGTTGAACTATTCAGCCTTGTTTTCTATGTATAGGATCCATCATGTTTTGGCAATCATGATATAGTAACAAACCACTACTTATAGGCGATAGTGAAAAGTCAATATTGGTCCTGACTCATCTCCACAATATTGATCCGATGATGATATACCTCATATCTGTCCCAACCCCCAAAGCAATCACTATACCAACTGAATGCGATCTAAATTTTAAAGAAAGAAACTCTTCTTCATGAGCATTTTCTGCTTTATCTCCTCTTCTGTTTTAACGTTCATCTTACTTTTTGTAAACATTTATTTAAATATTTGTTTAAATATTTGTTTTTAATTTGAAATCAACGCCGTCTCCTGTTCTCAATACCATAGCACTTTGACAGAATACACAAATATATAAAAAATAAATGCATGCACCTTTCTCGGTTTATAGTTTTACAGGAAGTTTCTGGCATTTCAGTTACGAGGGCATCCACGTTAATAATACGTGGAGGTTTCATCTACGGGCACCTGGCAGACCGTATATATACCCTTTCGCTACCCTAGGAACGTACATGATAAACTCATCAGATTCATCGTTGCTGCCGGGTGAAATCAGTTGCCCCGGTATGTGTGGTGGTGGATGGTGGTATAAGACCGCACGATATAAATGCATCGGGAACATAAATGGTATTCTTAGTGCTTCTACCAATGAGGGCACAGAGAGGAGCTGCGGGTGGCCGAAAAGAGTCGTGAAGACTCTTTTGAAGATGAGAGTGTGTAACGATTGAAGGAAGCTGATTGAATGTATTCAAATAAACTGCTTGTATATATTTGTGAAAATTGGTGAGCCAGAATGAGACAGAAACAAATGGAAGAATAAATATTATGATACTGGTAAAAGTGTCAAAAAAATGATTGGTTGCATGTCAATGATAAGCTTGATCAAAATGAGACTAATACAAAATGGAAGGAAGTTACTTTGATATAAGGTAAAGGAAAACAGAAAATGATTAAAGGAAGATCCTTACTTAACAACTTCTCTAAAAGAATATGATTTTTTGAAAGTTACAATCACTTTACGAATGGGGACTTCAAATGAATGAATCCGTAATATTACTGTTACGTATATCGTGCCGGGGGGCGGGGAGGGGGGGGGGGGGTAAGAGGACATTTTTGTTTGTTTTTTGGTGTGTGTCCCAAAATTTGAAAATTTGGTCGATCGATATTTCGTTTCGTTGGGGGGGGGGGGTGAGGTCAGCTTTTGGGGTCACCCATTACCATCATTTTGTTTATTTAAAAAAAAAAAAAAAATCCATCCAAAACACACACGTACAATTATTTTTTTATGGGGGTTCAACCCCCCCCCCCCCCCCCCCCCCCCCCCCCTGCGTACGCGCCTGGGCTACATTATATCAAACTTTCGTCATTCTGTTTCTATTATGAATCTGCTTTCAAACAAAATTAATGAACTTATTAATGACCAAGATTAGATTGCCCCCTTTAATGGGAACACGTACTGGCCATATGCAGGCAAGAATTCTGGTAGTCGGGGATGTAACGGCAATCTAGGGACAGTTTTGTGCAGATTCTTGTAAAAGCGCCAATTTGGCCCTATAGCACCATATACCATACTTCGTTTTTTGACGCTCGCCAAGAAGGACATCCCGTGGGCCGCCATTTTGGTGAAATCCGAAATGGCCGCTAGATAAGCAGGAACTTAATTGTATTGATAAACAAAAAAGGGCTAGAATAATGAAATTGAAGTTCTACAAGTTTATGTTAAGAAGGGCGTCCTCTTTTGCTATTATTTTGGTAAATCCACTCTGGTCGCCATATTCATGATGAGCTCAAATCAAATCAATTGTTCTATGTTAAATGCTGATAACACAATTATTCTAGCAGAATCTCCTGAAGAGTTGCAAAAAGCCCTAAACGCATTGAAAGATTATTGTGATACTTAACATTTAACTGTTAATGCAAGCAAAACGAAAATTGTTGTTTTTTCACGTGGGAAAGTTAGAATAATTAAGAACTCGTTTATGATGGTGAGGTAAATGGATGTTTTTTATGACTTTGTATAATTATTTAGGAGTGCATGACGTCTAATAATAATGGTATTTTTAAAAAGAAATTGCTAAACACGTCACACAAGCTAGAAAGGCAATTTATAGTAAAGACAAAAAGGTTGAATTTATCTGTTGATAAATAATGTCATATATTTGATCACTTAGTTTTGCCAATTCTATTATAATATGATGAGGTCTGGGGCTATGATTTTGATTTGATTTGATTTGATTTATTGGTTTCTGCATCTTTTTTTTTTCATCATATATTTTCATGAACACAATATGGTTTGATACAATATTTTAAGTGTTTATAACTTTATACAGATAAGAAACGAAATTAAACAAATATATTGAATGCATACATTAGATGCAGGAGGGCTACAGAAATAAGCAAAGTAGCTTGACGTGCCCGCAGCCCTCAACTTAAATACAACAATAAACATATTATTAATAAAGAGTGTGACTAGCAGAGAAGAAAAGGAAAGGGGAGAGAAGAAGCGTTGGTTATAATACAATAAATCGCATACATTTGCTGAATATGAGTGTATAGATCAACTTAAAGTTTTCCAAAGATAAATTTCAAGAAACGATATTGTTTGTAAAAAAAATGCACACCTGACTGCATGGTTTGTGGTGAAACTGGGCGTGGTAAAATATTTGATAAAATTAAGTGTAGAATGATTGGATATTGGGTTAGATTAGTTAAAGGGAACAAATATATTCATTGATTCTTGCAAAGTGATGTACAAAGTCTAATTAATATCAAGTCACAATGGGCTGAGTTTCTTGCAGACAGTTTTGATCAGTATGCAGGACTTGGGAACGTATAGCGAGCTCAAGGAGAAGGATATAGTGCTGTCTGGATTATGAGTACTATGAAAACCAGGCTTTCTGACATGTCTATTCAGGAATGGAGCGCAGCTACCTGGTCAAGTCGTATTTGCACGAACTATAATAATAGGTTGGTTTTTGAAATGTAACTCCAGATATATCATGTCAGAAGGAAGCAATAACTTTAGGTAAATTTACAAGTAGAGCACATAGATTACCAGTTAATAACGGCAGATTTGATGCAAAATGTACTAGATAATTTGCAATGCCCCACTTTGTACATCAATAGATAGTGGTGATGAATTTCATTATATGTTTGTATGTCCATTCTTTCAAAATGAGAGGAAAATGTATATACCATATAACTTACGTGGTAGTAGCTTAATACCAGGTGCGTTGCACCTGGATAAGGTTTCTTGATACAGCTCATGCTTGCCAGCTAAAGAAATTAGCGAAATTTGTTAAAATAATTATGTCACATTTTCTAAAGACCCAAAGGTAGATGGTTCTGTAGATGATAGCTCACAAGTAAGCAATGTTGTTAGGCACACTCGTTTCGGTAGGCGGGTGAATTTCCCAGTTCACCTTGATTTGTAAATATATTTATTTGTTCATATTATCACATGTTTATCATTGTTCATATTATCACATGTTTATCATTGTTCATATTATCACATGTTAATCATTGTTCACATCATCACGTTTATTATTGTTCATATTATCACATGCTTATCTTTGTCATATTATCATGTTTATCATTGTTCATATAATAATAATAATAATAATAATAATAATAATATTCCGTGTTTATATGGCGCTCAATACATCACATGTTTATCATTGTTATATACTACTATTATATTGATACTATATTGTAAATATGTTTGTACTCCCATACCCCGAGAGGGGGTCAATAGAGTCAATAAAATCTTACAATCTTCAAAACGAAAAGGACTATAGAACAATTTAAGTTGTTATTAATATGCGAGTTTTAGGTAAAGAGAATTGTGATTCTGATACCATTTCATTGATTCGATGTCCGATGTCATTTTGGTAGAATCATACACGACTGTCATTTATGTATAGCTGTCATGTGTATCATACTTATTTAATTTGTATTACATCATTAAGTCGTTCTCTCTCATTTCTTTCCCTTTCTATGTTGCACTCTCTCTCTCTCTCTCTCTTCCTCTCTCTCTCACTCTCTCTCTCACTCTCTCCTCTCACGTTCTGTTCATTTTTTTTCCACGTTTGATTTATTCAACCGAATTCCACACTTATTCTTTTGAAAGTGAAGGTAATATTGTACATAAGATAATAAATATTAATTTTCATGTTTTGGTTGGTTCTTGAAATAACAAAGTATTGTAATGCACCATTGAAGTCGATCTTATGCATTTGAGGAAAAAAAAATCTTCAAATGTTTGCAAATAATAGGCTACTTCTGTGCTCTTATTTCTTTTCCAGTGTATGTTTCATATCATGACTGCCACCTTATTATGAAACACACTACAAAGGCATGATGATCTGATTTTAAATGACTCAAAATTGCAAATCGTTCTAGTAGAACAATAACATTCACGGTATCTATCTTGGTGAAACTGTTTTTAATTAAAAAAAAACTATACAGATGTGCCTAAATTAATTCTGTCATCATTTTTGTATACATTTTGTTTAGGTCATTCAAATATATTTATGTATGGAACATGTTTTTAGATTTCAAGCAACTAGCCAATTGTTTGGAACTGGATTTCCGCCCCCCCCCCCTCAAAAAAAAATCCCTTGACCCCTTTTCGACTGTTGAGAAAGCAATATTCTATTGATAATAAAATAAGGAAATTCATGTGCAAATAACATATCTCAGGCATGCACAGATGTGATAAAATTATGCGTTCTACTGATAAATCCACCAATCAATATTTTAACCATTATCAGTCAGCCCCAAATTCCAATGTTCTCTTTCTCACTTTTTTTCTACTTTTGAACAAATATGGCGAGATGAGGAAAAGGATTGTCATCAATACCTGTAGATACAATGAACACACAATTTGAACTAGAATTAATATCTCTTTCTTTAATATCACATCAGAAGCATCCCCACATATACATGCATAGTATAATAAATAGAAACCAAAATAATATCTAGAAACATCCTTACTACATATACATGCATAGTATAATAAATAGAACCAAAATAATATCTAGAAACATACTTTCTACATATACATGCATTGTATAATAAATAGAACCCCAAATAATATCTAGAAACATACTTTCTACATATACATGCATAGTATAATAAATAGAACCCCAAATAATATCTAGAAACATCCTTACTACATATACATGCATTGTATAATAAATAGAACCAAAATAATATCTAGAAACATACTTTCTACATATACATGCATAGTATAATAAATAGAAACAAAATAATATCTAGAAACATACTTTCTACATATACATGCATAGTATAATAAATAGAACCAAAATAATATCTAGAAACATACTTTCTACCTATACATGCATAGTATAATAAATAGAACCCCAAATAATATCTAGAAGCATCCTTACTACATATACATGCATAGTATAATAAATAGAACCCCAAATAATATCTAGAAGCATCCTTACTACATATACATGCATAGTATAATAAATAGAACCAAAATAATATCTAAAAAACATCCTTACCGCATATACATGCATAGTATAATAAATAGAACCAAAATAATATCTATGTGCATCATACAGTATTGCACAAGCTGTCCTTACTGATAGTATTCATGACTTTTTAATGTATTTGAACACGTGTTGGATATAAGTCACATTCAAGTACACATGTATCAACCTTCAAAGGTGTCGTGGTCTAGTAAACAGACTCGGAGTAAGGATCACATGCTTCACAGTTTAACACCTACGGCAGCAATAACATCCTTTGGCAAGACATTAAAGGTACTATGTCCCATTTGCAGGCCCAAAAATTGAAAAGGTTCAATTTACAATGGCATTTGAAAGATAACACTAATTTAGAACTTCCCTTAAAAAAATGGGGGCTTTGAAAATGTCTTTAAGTGGGAAAATAACGACTATTAGTTGTCGAATCGACTTAAGAGCTATAGAGCCAGTAAGTAATAGTTTGATTTTCAGACCATTGTACCGAATGGTTGTACGTTCTATGCTACGCATAGATTCAATCAGTTTAATTTTGGCCATTACAAGAAGTGGGTTATTGATGTAGACAAATGCTCATGTACACTTTTTGCAGCTCATTTCATGTATGTTATTACCAAAAAAGAAAAAAAAGCCAGTCAGTCACTCAAAAGTGTCTGACAGTGAAGTCTAGCAAGTAAACAGGTTTCCTTGCATAATTTGAAAATTAGGACACTGCTAACGTTTAAATTTCATAGATAGGACATACATGACATATTAATTTCCTGCAAAGTTCTACAGAATTTGATGTTGGCTGCAAAAGGGACATATTATCTTTAATCTAAATTTGTCACTCTCTACCCAGGTAATGTAAATGGTTAATTAAGGGTAATCAGAGTACAGTTAGCACTGAGCTGAGAAACGTTGGTATTAAGCGCTATATTATACAAATATACACTGTCTTGAGAGGTTCTGGTTAAAACTATGCGCAAGAGGTGACTCCAATAGTACTATTTGCTGAGGGGCGCAGCCCCGAAGCAAATGGTACTTTTGGAGTCATTGAGGCCCATAGTTTTAACCAGTACCTCGAATAGAAGACATGGTATATTTGTTTTATATCCTGCATTAAAATAAAAAAATAAAAATTAAAAAAAAAACCCAAAAACAAAACATTAGAACAAAAAAAATGTCAATTTTTATCTATAAAGATTCAAAATATTTTGTTTTCATTAAATTAAGATTTAAAGGAAAACAAAATTCAATTAAAAAAAAAGCCAAGGAGGGGTATAAATACAGCGAGGGGAAAGAAAAAAGGTGAGGAGAAATAGAGACGAGAGTAAGAAAGAGAGGCAGGGAGAGAGAGAGGGAGAAAGAGAAGAGAGAACAGTTGATGGATCCAATATTCATAAGTATACATGAGCATCACTGCTATAAACAATGCAATGAAAATAAACAGGACCAATAATAAGAGAATCATGAATGTTTGAAATATGATATCACCTAATCTATGCGAATCTCAAATTCAGGGGCGGATCTAGCTGTTTGCCAAGGGGGAGGGGGGTGACCACGTTTTTTTCAAAAAATCGTGCCGTTTTACTGTTTTACTTTTTGTTCTTTTTCACTTAATCCGCCGAAACACCCCCCTCCCCCCTGGATCTGCCCCTGAAATTAACAATATTATTTGGTCAGTAGATCATATCCTTTTCATGATTAATTCCCGTTTGTCGTGTACAAAAATACCATTAACTTCCATGTTTCTTGTAAGTGTCTCCTCCTTTCGGGCATCAAAATATATTAGGGGAAGCGTATTATAATAAGTCCTCTAGAAAGGAAAAAACTCCCAATTAAGTCATACTTTTGAAAAACAAAATTACGTTTTAGTAATTTGTGAGTTGAAAAACAATTGGGAAGTAGTCCGACACGATTAATAACGGTAAAACGGACTCATTCAATTTAAAGTCTCCATTCGTTAAGTGATTGTAACTTTCAAAAAATCATATTCTTTTAGAGAAGTTGTTAAGTAAGGATCTTCCTTTAATCATTTTCTGTTTTCCTTTACCTTATATCAAAGTAACTTCCTTCCATTTTGTATTAGTCTCATTTTGATCAAGCTTTTCATTGACATGCAACCAATCATTTTTTTGACACTTTTACCAGTATCATAATATTTATTCTTTCATTTGTTTCAGTCTCATTCTGGCTCCCCAATTTTCACAATTATATACGAGCAGTTAACATTCAATCAGCTTTCTTCAATCGTTACACACTCTCATCTTCAAAAGAGTCTTCACGACTCTTTTCGGCCACCCGCAGCTCCTCTCTGTGCCCTCATTGGTAGAAGCACTAAGAATACCATTAATGTTCCCGAGGCATCGATATTGTGCAGTATTGTACCACCATCCACCACCACAAATAACGGGGCAACTGATTTCACCCGACAGCAACGATGAATCTGATGAGTTTATCATATACGTTCCTAGGGTAGCGAAAGGGTATATACCAGGTGCCCGTAGATGAAACCTCCACGTACTATTAAAGTGGATGCCCTCGTAATTGAAATGCCAGAAACTTCCTGTAAAACTATAAACCGAGAAAGGGCGGGAAAATAAAAGAGAATCACAGATACATAAATATATATATACATGTATATAGGCCTATGTAACATATATTACGTATTAAGCTTTGTGCACCATTACGTAGTCAACGGATTTCTTTTTCTTTCTTCATTGTGTGTTGAGACTCTCCTCCATCGTAGAAGAGTATCTTTTTGTGAATGTATATACTGTACATGTATTTATTTTTATATATTTGTGTATTCTGTCTTAGTGCTATGGTATTAAGGAACAGGAGAGGGCATGGATTTCAAATTAAAAACAAATATTTAAAACAAATATTTAAATAAATGTTTACAAAAAGTAAGATGAAGGTTAAAACAGAAGAGGAGAAAAAGCAGAAAATGCTAATGAAGAAGAGTTTCTTTCTTTAAAATTGAGATCGCATTCAGTTGGTATAGTAATTGCTTTGGGGGTTGGGACAGATATGAGGTATCATCATCGGATAAATATTGTGGAGATGAGTCAGGACCAATATTGACTTTTCACTTTCGCCTATAAGTAGTGGTTTGTTACTATATCATGATTGCCAAAGAATGAACTATGGATCCTATACATACAAAACAAAGGCTGAATAGTTCAACTCGCATGATGATATTACTTTGAATGATCTAACGATAACACTTGGCCTGTACAATAACTATAAAATAGTCATGTTCGCAAGATGTGTTTCAATTGCAACATTTCATGCAGTCCATGCCCATGGTCGGATAGGTTCTCATACAATCGACAAACCGTCGCTATATACATAGGGAATAGCGGAAAGATAATATTGGCCCTGGGACCCGTTTCACAAAGCCTTTTTTCAATGACAAATGACAAAAATCAGTGACAAATCTGTCGATAACCAATCAGAAGCAATGATTTCAGTAGCTTTTAACAAAAACTGTCATTTGTCACTGATGACAAGTTTTGTGAAACGGCCCCCAGATTGAGCAGCAGTATACCAATCAGCGATGTATCAAAGTATGGGTATGTATACGTACTCTGCATATATCCGTGCTTGAAAAGTGGCGCCAATAACTTCACCGTCCTCGAATGTAACCATAATTTTCCAGCTTCGCGTCTTATTCCCATTCTGTGTGAACCGTAAGATCTTCTGTAGTCCCAACCAATGATCTCCATGTAGGTCTCCAAATCCATTGAGGTAATCAATCCAAGAACGATTGAAATCAACCGAGAGGTGTGTCCTCCGCTGTGAAATGATAGCATTGCTCATGATTCGAGACTCAATTCGAATATTGGTTTTCCATTTAACATTTTTTTTCATTCAATTTCATCCCGAAACTTTCCAATTCTGCACATGTCCGTTTTGTTGTCAATCTCGTCTTTGGCCATTCATTTTCGAACTTTGTCCAATCAATTTCATAATTTGCATCGAATTTCCTCAAAGTCTAATTAAATTCGTCACTCGTTCGCTATAAGGTCTTGTCTAGTATACAGTGCGTCCCAGAAAAAAACGAAACCGAGAACTATCGATGTTTTATCATACCTTAATCACATTTATAATTGATAAATGACACATATTTGGAAAGCTTAGATCCTCCACTTTTATTTGATGTAACTCATATAATATATATTTCACGCATGAGTGATTAAAATGAATTTGAAGAGAAGAAAGCAAAAAGTCATTTGGCGGACGGTATCTGAATTATAAATGAGACTAAGTTATGATAAAACATCGAAAATTCTCGGTTTCCTTTTTCCTGGGATGCACTGTACAACGAATTTGAATGAAACTCTCTTGAAATTGATTGCACAAAGACGAATTTCATAATTGCATTCTACAGCGCCAGGTGAGACGAATGTGAATGAAATCTAACATAAATGAACGGACAAGGCTCTTGTTGAAATTTATTTACCATTAACTAACTTTAATGGGAAAAGACTAATTAATCAACTATGAAATGTGTATGTACGATCCCGGATTCCTATAGGACGGAACTGAAGTGTACAAAGATGAATTTGATTGAGAGGGAAAAAAGTGTTGAAATGGATGGGAAATTCCAAGTAGCTAATGTTTATCCTCAGCATAATGTTTAAATTCAGATTATATCATTATTTTAGTTTAATTCATAACAATCCGAACCATTATAAACAAACATCTTTATTGTTGGATTTAATTCCACTTATGCAGGATGTGGAAAAAATGAACGAATGTTGAAAATTTGAAAAGACACCGCATAAATCCCGGGGACTATGCCTCCATTTGGCCTTTAAAATAAATCAACTCAATTGCCATTTAGGTAAACACAGGAAAACAAACATTTAAAAATTTGATTAATATACTCCTCCTAGCATATACTTGAAATTATGAAAATGCGATTTACAATATCATTTTTACTTTTGGTAAGTATTATATATATATATATATATATATATATACATACATATATGTATATATATATATGAAAGCTCAAAACGTTGAAAAGGGACCGACTGTATAGTAGGAGTGGAGTCCCGAAATGCGAACGTCATGTTCGTTTCGCATCGTCCAAGTTACTGGCTCAACACATTGCATATAACAGAGCCTGAGATTTACCACGAAATCATTCAAGCAAATGTGTGGAGCAGGGCAAATTATGTGTGGTAATGATCACCACATTCACAATTATTGTTTAAAGGCATTGTGTCCCTTTTGCGGGCCAAACAGATGAAAAGATTAATTTCCGCCGGTATTTGAAAGATAATACTATTTTTGAACTTCCCTCATAACGAAAGGGCTTGAAAATGTCTTTTTGTGTGAAAATAACGATTGTAAGTTGTCGAGTCGACTTGGGGGATTGCAATCCTTTTAGTAAATAGTCTGATTTTCAGACTTTGAACCGAATGGTGTACGTTTTGTGCTGCGCAAAGATTCAATCACTTTTGGCCATTACAAGAAGTGGGTTATTGGTACTGTACAGATCATTTTATGTATGTTATTACCGAAGAAAAAATGAAGTCAGTCAGTCACTGATGGTGTCTGACAGTGAAGTCTAAAGTTAGTTGATGGGTTTCCTTGCATAATTTGACTACTAAGACACTGCTAACGTTTAAATTTCACAGATAGGACATACGTGACATATGCATAATTCCTGCAAAGTTCTACAGCATTTGATGTTGGCTGCAAACGGGACATGATAGTACCTTTAAAAAATTGTTTGGTACCAGGGGTACCAGCAACCTAGACAACTTGGCCAGTATGACGTCACACTTCAGTACTCTATATTTAGGCAAGCTCCAGGGTATACTAGGCAGTTCGGCATCTTACCAGATGGTAAAAGTGTGTTTTTTTTTGACAGGCCTGCCTATTTTTAATGTAAACGGATAAAAGAGTATTCGGTTATTATACCTGAATAATGACATAGTCATCTTTTTCGCAATAGACGTAGAATGGTTTGCCTCCCACTCCAGGGTTGAGAGGACTCACGTGGTTTGTCTCATTGTAATCTTCACAACTCGTTTTGTTCGTCGGCGCTGTGGATTTAATCAATGGCATGCCGAAAATTATTAGTCATTCAAAGGAAAACCTCGCCTTTAAAGCCCCTCTAAAGTAATCCGGGAAGCCCCAAATTTACCAAAAATTTGATGGCAAAATTTTGCTTAAATTGTATCATAATGTGAAAGAGGATGTTTTTAATCTAAAGGCACATTTCAGGTAGGATTTTCAATAAAATGTGTTTGAAGACAAATATTGATGAAAGAATACAACATTTAGGTATTCTGCATACAAGAGAAAACCAAATTACGTTATGTTATGTTATGTTACGTTATGTTATGTTATGTTATGTTATGTTTTTTAAAGGCATACAATGAAATGCGTTAAGTGTAAATGTGTATAATTATGTTAGTGTATGTCTCAGAGAGTCAGACTTAGTGTTCTTATTGGGTTCTTATTGGGTTCATAGATAATTAGGCTCTGGGCTTGGTCGCATGGGCTAGGGTTAGGGTTGGTGTGGTTTGGGGTTAAAATTAGGAATTCTGTTAATTAGTATAGGACACTGACCACGAAGAAATCGGCGGAGTGATGTCTCATTGAACTGCATCACGAATTCATAGATGTATTGAGAGACGAAGTAAGATATGAACATGCACATGATGAATCATATTATGCATATACGTTATTTTTCAGTGGTTCAGTTTGTCGATCATCGAAATTGAAAAATTATTATATTCATTTCATATACGGTACATGATATTTTATTACCCATGCTCTAATCATTTCAAATTCATTTTATTAATATATTTCGACATTATAAAGGTTTAAAAACACCTTTCTTAATCATGAGATAGCAGTTAAGGTCTCTTCAGATATACAAAGGGAAACCTCCGCAACCCTATCCTCTGCAAGTTTTTTTAATCTTTGCGATTAATGCCTGACAAACTAAATAAATTAACTAAATTTGACGCCTGAATATGCAAGAATATCTGAACACTAATAAACCGCGGGACGGGGAGGGGGGGGGGGGTGCGGGGGTTCGCTGATTCATATTTTATTTGTTATGTTTGTGCACTTTCAAGAGATTTTCTCATTCCGTGTGAGCAAGAAAGTTTTTTTTTATAAAAATACTTTGATAGACCTACCTGGTAACGTACAAACGTATGATACACTCGGCAACCGTAGAGGTCGAAGGTCAAAGGTTGTTGGTACAAGGTTGATGACCTCCTTCATAGGGCCTGTGATGTAACTACAGGATAGCTTGCCGATTGACCCCCTGATGACAACTCTTCCGCCTGAGTATTGGCACAATGCAATTAAAGAGTAGAATACAGACATTAATCGGTTAGGATATTAAGTTCGTCAAGTTCTCGTTTTCATTTCTTCCAAACTCAGCCGACAGATTGCCTATACATTTCGTGAAAACATGCAATTAGGATACCTCTTTAGTTAGAACCCGCGTTATTAGTCAGACATATATAACTTAAAGTGGCATGTTCCCCGTATTCCAGAGGGCGTTCAAAATACGTACCCGCTGGCGGATGGTGCTAGCTGCCTATTGACACCAACAGAATACGGCTCTTACGCAGATGGCATGTTCCGAATGCCCGCACAATGCCGATTATCGCATACATGTGCCGAAGTAATACAAATCGCAGTTCGATTCTAAGATTCGGCTGCTGTTTCCGCCCGTTGGTGACGTCAGGATCGGCAGCGATCAGCTGGCTTGACGAAGGCAGGCCAGGCCGCGCGTACTTTGATTGACAGCTGTATGCAAATTACAAGTCGATCTTCGGAACCAGGATGGCGATGACTAGAGCAGCGATAACTACAATGGCGGGAACGTGCCTCTTTAAACCGAGTATACACGTTAATACTCGGAAAACATTGAATAACGCGCAGTGAATATAGCGCCTTCCACGGATATTAAGTTCTCCAAGTAAGTTCTCGTTTTCATTTCTTCCAAACTCAGCCGACAGATTGCCTATACATTTCGTGAAAACATGCAATTAGGATACCTCATTAGTTAGAACCCGCGTTATCAGTCAGACATATATAACTCAAACCGAGTATAGACGTTAATACTCGGAAAACATCGAATAACGCGCAGTGAATATATATAGCGCCTTCCACGCTAAATGAGTGTTGAAAAAAGGAATAGGGAAATCTTTTGAATTCAACCGAGTTTCGATATAGAGTTTTTGTTGTAAAATCAATGCTGTTCTAATATATCTTCAAAATCCATCCAGAAGTCACGTAAACGACCTTCCGAAAGACAAACATGAAAATTAAAAACCCTGGACAATATTATTATTATAACCCCTGGAAGAAAAAAAAATTAAATAGAAATACAATTTACAACAAGTTTTGATCTTTCGACCTTATCTTATTTTCATAGTTTACTACACCTATTTCAGATTTATTTGTTTTCCGAGTGCATTGCCGAAATGCTAATATATATGATGTGTGGGGAACAAATAAGATGCATATTTTTCAAAAGAGAAACATAGCCTATATTGTTTTCTTAATTTCCAAAATATTTCATTCATATATCTCTATTGATTACCTGAAAATTGGATGCTTGAACAGACAAGGACGAAAATAATCTGCAAGAAAAGTTTATTGGAAGAAAAACGGTAATTCTTTATATCAAGCTTCACCAACGAAAATATCAACACAAATATAGCCTATTGGCTATGCAATACCGCCAATACGGGATTGAATTTATCTCCCAATAAAATAAAATGAAAGTCTATCGACTCCTCAAGCCTCGCCAGCTACCCACAGCCTTTGTATTTGGACCAAGAATGGTATACATGAACTTATTCAAAGATTGATAACTTTGATAACTTTTAGAAGCATCTACTAAAATAACTATATAGTTCGATCCGAGTACATCATTGAACAGCGGCGTATCCAGCACATGGTGGAGCTGGCAAAAAACACACCTCTGGTTTGAAGTATGTAAAATTTGCAATGGTCTACGTCACACGGGGCTGCCAACAGACGCTCCCTTGCCTGTTGCTGATGTTGCCCTCATGCCTTTATCAATGTCTTGATAGGGCCTACGCCATTATTATTAAAAACAATCCTTACCCAAGAGAATGCCATTTCCAGAACTTCCTCTCTTAATTGACTTCTAAATTCGCCCAAGTAGTAGCAAAGTCAGTTACAGATCATGAGCAAAGATTTATTAGGCTTCACTCGCAATATTTCGAACAAGAATGAATGAAGAGGTCTTGTCGCATGGGTTTATATACAGGAATCCGATATCGCGCGCCCCAAGCTCCATCTCCAACGGCAGCTAGCAGCGCTATGTATATCCACCATTACGGGGAGGGGGGGGGGGGGGGGGCTTCCGTTCGCTGCAGTGTACATTCGATTCGCTCGTTTATTTTAGCTTCTAATTTTACATCTCATATGGATAAAATAAAGCGCTTGGGCACCAAGATATATCGTTATTTGAAAGGAAATCTAGCTGATGGGCTTCACTTCCCCCCACCCACTCTCTCTCTCTCTCTCTTTCTCACTCCCTCACTACCTCCCTCCCTCCCTATATACCTCCCATCCTCCCTTTCTCTTTCATACACACACCCCATGCTTATGTCAGCTATGTATGAATGCATGCATTCCATTTCCTATTGATGTATTTTGATTTTTTTAAAATGACATATTAGTATTTCATATTGTTCCCTTTTGAATAAGAATATAACGTAATGACCAATGTCTAATTCAATTGGAAATGAAAGAGGGAATTTCCAGCATCAAAAGATTTAAATTCATATAGTCGGAGCATATAGGGCTGTGCACGTGCTCCTAAATTTAAAGGTACTATGTCCCATTTGCAGGCCAAAATGAATGAAAAGGTTAAATTCCAACGGCATTTGAAAGTAAATACTAAATTAGATCTTCCCTAAAAAAAAAAAAAGGGGGGGGGGGGGGGGGGCTTGAAAATGTCTTTAAGTGTGAACATAACGAATATAAGTTGTCGAATTGACTTAAGAGCTATAGAACCAGTAAGTAATAGTCTGATTTTCATACCATTGTACCGAATGGTCGTACGTTTTATGCTGCGCAAAGATTAAATCAGTTTAATTTTGCCCATTACAAGAAGTGGAATATTGATGTAGACAAATGCTCATGTACCCTTTACAGCTCATTTTACAAAAGAAGAAAAAATGTCAGTTTATCACTCAATAGTGTCTGACAGTGAAGTCTAGCAATTTAACGGTTTCCTCCATAATCTGAATATTAGGAAACTACTAACGTTTAAATTTCACAGATACGACATACATGACATATTCATAACTCCTGCAAAGTTCTACATAATTTGATGTTGGCTGCAAAAGGGACATAGTATCTTTAAGGGATAAAACGAAATGACACAATATTTTGGTTGAATAAGGCCAATATTGAGGTCAATATTTTCATCTAATGAAAATCCCCCCATTAATGTTAAAAGCTAAGATACAATTTCTTTGTTCCCCTTTTTAAAAGCTTACCACTCGTCAAAAATCAATCCCCATTATTAAATATAGGAAGCGTAGTCATAACCATATAGGCATACAATTTCAATTACAGTAATGATTTTTGAGTGTACCTTAATTTAATAAATTTTAATTTTAATTCAAATAAACTCAATACTCTCTCATTGATTATAAATCGGGGATGGAAGAAACTATCCAGCCGATGTTCATTAATTAAAAACATAACTAGTTGAATGCAGGGAAAGTCTGATTAATTCAATGCATGGGTAGAGTGTCAACATTTCATCCTTACAAGTCACAACTTGAGTTCCATGTTTTTCCTCAGTTTTTAAAGAAATGTCATTGTAAAAGCCTATAGTAAAGGGTGCTGCATGGAACGGGTATATGAAAGAGAGAGGGAGAGAGAGAGAGAGAGTGTGTGTGTGTAATTAGGTTTTTACAGACGTGTATCCATCAGATATGATTATTTACGTCTGGGGACCGACCTTTAACGTCACCATCCCAAAGACGTGACTCAGTTTTGAACCTACGTCCTCAGCTGAATCAGTTTGTAACTTCCATTGTTAGCTGGATTACAGGCGCACGCCGAAGATTTCCCGTCCTCTATTCCAGGAAAATCGTGATTGAACAAATAGTTCTTGCATTAGAAGATGTATATAAGGCCTAAACAAAAAGATGTGGTATTGCCCTTTCCGTAATAAAACATGGGTCGGTCGGTCGGAAAACTTTTTTTTTAACTTAAAAAAAAAAATCCCTCTTTGAGCTAATATTTCTCAGCTTTTAATGCTTTAATACAAGAAAATGGTAGTTGCAATTAATGTACATAGATGAAGCCCATAGAGATATAACTGTTAGTAGCATATATCTCTATGATGAAGCCTTATCTTTACTTTACACCTTTTATTTCGTTTTTCTTTCATTCTTTCTGTTTTTTCCCGTTATTATTCTTTTCGTTTCCCTTTTACTTCATTTTTAGTACGCCATGTAGCCATAGTATACTACACGGTCTATGCGCTTGTGTTTTTTTGTCTAATTTGCTTTTTTTTTTAAATAAATTGAATAGACTTGGAGCTTTTTATTCTTTGCTCACCATTTAAAAAAAATTAGTTATTTGGGCAGGAGAAAAACACATTTTAAGCGGAAAATTTTGAGGAAATCGCATTAAAGCGGGAGAGTTGGAGTCTCTGGTCGACTGATCCCCCATCCCCCCCCCCTTTTCATCATGATATTTTTATTTTCATAAGTAGGTTTACACCCCGCGCTCCATAACGGACTATTCCATGTTGACCATTCTGCTTATCCAGGCTATCGTGTTCAATACAGGGACAATCGTTATAAAAGCAATACCGAAATAACATCTGCAGATATTTAATCCAGATATAACAATGTTGTCCATAATTATCATTATTGACATCGCTTGAAATTTAGAGAGAGAAAATACAATAGATAAAGACAATTTAGATGATTAGAAATATGGATGGCGGACAATAATGAATTACTATACAACGGGAGAACTGGACCGTGCGTTGTAAAATGTTTTTATTTTTGTTGTTTTCATGGACTATTTAACGATGATAAGTAATTACTTTCGAATCTTTACCAACAAAGCTATTCAGTATCAATTCAATCAAGTCAATCAATAATTTCAACAGACAAGTATCACTTTATCAATTATCTGTGTATAGGGTTGTTCACTTCTACTTCAATTATTTTACAACTAGAAATAAAGGGACCAGAGTAAATACTAGTGCTTGCATGATGACGAGCTTGAAGTTGAAGATGGCGCCCTGCAAAGGACAATATCGGGGATAATATGCAATTTTTAAGAACTAAAAAAATATATAACGCAATGCTCTTTACTTTCATGTTTTAGTCATACGATGAACTTATTTGGTGAGTCTTTTCTAGATAAGTCGCACATTGCAGCACCGCGTCAAGAGTTTTCGTCTCTGTCGGTATAAATCAAAGGTTGTGTTGGGTAGTATCCTCTGCATTTCAGGCATGCTCGGGTAAGCAATCAGTCATACCGATCGACCGATAAT